AGAATGGGAATGGGATTACCCAGTTCTATCTTCAGGCCAACAGAACTTTGTAACAGCTCAGGAAAAAGTGGAGGTTATGATGAAAACTTTTGCTAAGATTCATAGCTCTGATAACATATCAGTGTTGGGAAAAGACAGAATGTGCCAAACTAAAACACGGTATTTGGAGGATTTAGTAAGAAAGGCACACATAGACAGTAGTTTGGATGCAGTGTTTTCTCGGGAGGAAATGGTGAGAGCACTTCAAAAAACGAAGCCCACAGCCCCGGGAAAGGATCAAAATTGTTATTTAATTTTGAAGAACCTTGGTACGAAAGCGCTTAATAAACTGCTGTGTTTGGTTAACACAGTTTGGATTAAGGGTGAGCTCCCAAGTACTTGGAAGGAGGCTGTTATTGTGCCAATAAGAAAACCTGGGAAGGATCCATCTAAACCAGATAGCTACAGACCAATCGCTCTTACATCAAATGTGTGCAAGTTAATGGAACGTATGATAATGGCAAGACTGTCCTTTGAGCTGGAAAGAAAAGGGGCTTTAGCCAATTACCAAAGTGGTTTCAGGACAGCTCGGAACACAACTGATGCTATTATTAGACTTGGGAATGTTGTTAGGAAAGCGCAGGCCAATAAAGAGTCTGTTTTGGCAGTGTTTTTGACATAGAAAAGGCATATGATATGTTGTGGAGGGATGGGCTTTTAATCAAGTTGCATAAGTTGGGTATTGGTGGCAGGACATTCAATTGGATCCAAGACTTTTTATCTGGTAGGAAGATCCAAGTGCGAATTGGGTCTACAATTTCTAGTCAGTGCACGGTTGAGAATGGAACGCCACAGGGCAGTGCGATTAGTCCCCTGCTTTTTGTTGTAATGATCAATGATGTTTTTTCTGATGTTCCTGAGGGAATTAGGAGGTCTTTGTTTGCTAATGATGGTATGTTATGGAAAAAAAGGAAGAAATATTGAGCACCTAGTGGGCAAGGTTCAGGAGGCTGTTGGTGGTTGAGTGGGGATTTGACTGGGGATTCAGGTTTTCAGTGGAAAAAACAAAAATGATGTTCTTTACCAAAAGAAAAGTGAGTGAGACTTTGACATTGAAACTGTATGACAAGGTAATTGGGAAAGTGAGCTCTTTTAAGTACTTAGGTGTTGTGTTTGATTCAAGACTGATATGAAGGGAGGGAGCATATTAACCAGATTGAAACCAAATGCAAAAAAGTTATTAATGTTATGAGGTGTGTAGCTGGGAGGGGTTGGGGAGCGAGCTCTTCTGCTTTGAAAAGACTTTACCAGGCATTAATTAGATCGGTCTTCGATTATGGGTGTTCAGCAGCTCCTTCTGTGTTGAGATGTTTGGATGTTCTGCAATCGGAAGCCCTTGGAGTGTGCTGTGGAGCTTTTAAAACGTCTCCAGTCAGTGCCCTACAGGTGGAGATGGGAGAAATGCCCCTAGATCTTTAGATTAGATTAGATTAGATAGAACTTTATTAATCCCTCGGGTGGGTTCCTCTGGGAAATTCGATTTCCAAAAAAGCACAGCACCGACAGAAGTTACAGAGTTACAGAATATTATATATATATATATATATACACACACACACATATATATAAATACAGAGACAATATAAATAAAATATACGAAGGGGATAAATAGAATAAATAGGAATAAAAATAAAAATACAAGTGAATTGCACATTTCAAGTATTGAGTCTATTGCACCGTTGACTATTTGCAAAGGTATTGCACAGTGAGGTGAAGAGGCACTACAACTTAGTTGTTCCCCCCTCCTTTGTCCTCCTGTTTCCCCTCCCTCTCCCCTCCAGAGAGGAGTTAAACAGTTTGATGGCGTGTGGGACAAAGGAGTTTTTAAGTCTGTTAGTTCTTGTCTTTGGGAGAAGCAACCTGTCACTGAACAGACTCTTCTGGTTGTTAATGGCCGTGTGCAGAGGATGCCCAGCATTGTTCATAATGTCCAGCATCTTAGGAGGACGCAAGTGTCTGTGAATTACTGGGTTCATCTTGGTGGTCATGGTGACGCACATCCCACAAAGGAGGTACTTTTGGAATTCTGGGAGTATGGAAGAAGTCAGAAGGATCATTTTGGAAAGGTGGGGAATCAGTGGGCTAAGGAGTGTCAAGTGTATGAACTTAAAATATGTCCTGCAGGAGTGTTCCCTGTGGTTCCTTCATGGTTACTGGAGACCCCTCCTGTGCACTGGTTCTTGCTGGATCTGAAGAGAAAATTGAAAAGGAAGAGTCGATCTTGTTTCAGCATTTCATTTTCACAGCTTGAATGAATACCCTGAGTGTATTCATGTGTTCACGGATGATGCTAAAAGTCCAGATACAGGAATTACAGGGTTTGGAATAGCAGTTCCGTCAAAAAATATTGAAATAAACAGACGCACTCCGGATGGACTGGCAGTGTACACGGTTGAAATGGTAGCAATTTTGGTAGCATTGAAATGGGTAGAGTGTTCAAAAATCAGGCAGGTGGTAGTGTGTTCTGACTCAGCAGCTGTTCTTTCAAGTCTACAATCATTTTGTTCGAAGACAAGGCAGGGTATGCTGTATACTATTCTGGAGACTATAAGCAGAATAAGGTGTTGTGGTGGCAATATTCAGTTTCTTTGGGTGCCAGCTCATGTAGGAATCAGTGGAAATGAAAAGGTGGATAGGTTGGCAAAAGGAGCGTTGACTAACTAGGACTGAGATGGAAATTAAAAGCAGCGGATCTGAAGCAAAAGGTATTGTTTGGAGGCAGATGATGGGAGAACATCAGACAGGGCTTTGTGGAGTGTGCCAGGAGGAGGAGGAGATGGTAGAGCATGTAATACTGCGGTGCAAGGGTTATGATGTGGAGAGGAAAGTTCTGCAGAATAGATTGAAGGAGCGGGGAATTGAGGAATTTAATCTGTGTGTTGGAGGGTAGTAGGGCACAGGTGAGGGAACTGGTTGGGTTTCTGAAGGATATAGGTGTTTATGAAAGAGTGTAGGGTCTTTTTTTTTTTGGTTTTGTATTGTTTTTTTGGATACAGATTGTAAGTCACTGCTGTCAGACTCCATAATAAAGACTTTAACTGATCAAGCACACACATCCATACATATGCAATAATACTAAGTGCAATAATCCTTTCTGTCATCGTTGTATTTTTACTCAGTTGTATATAGTATTTGTACTTGTATTCTATTTTTATCTTATTGTATATTTATTTTATTTTATTCTACTGTATATAGTATTTTATTTTATTCTATTCTGTACAGTTGTGTACTGTATTTATTCTTATTGTATTCTAATTTTTGCCTCATAACTTTTGCACTGTCCACTTCCTGCTGTGACAAAACAAATTTCCCACGTGTGGGACTAATAAAGGTTATCTTAAGCTGTAAGTCTGACCCATACTCCGGAACAGTAGGAGGCGGTAATGCTCCTTTACGTTGGTTGCCAACCGCCGTTAAACACAAAGAGGAAGAAGTCACAGATAGGCCTCTAGGCCTGTGTGCATACTTGATTGGCGTCGCATCCACTGTCACAAGCCACAACTTCTGCCAGTGCTGCATATCTCAATTTTTGCAACCTGGCATGTTGTGTTGCTGCAACCAAAGGTTGGCTGAAGACACAGCTGTAAAGCCGTATCAGTGTTTAACACTGTTTTTTAATTCTATATCAGAACAGAAGCTCAGAGATTTACAGATTATACAGAGGGAGATGTTGCAATGGTCAGATGTGAGAAGTCAGAATTTCTGAGTTCCCAACCAAAATTTGAACCTGACGTTAACAATCCAACATGGTAGCATGGGCCATAAACAGTAGCAAAACTGTAAAACCAGGCTCTATCCATGCATCAGTGTTTTTAAGTAAAAAGTAATAATATAATGGATTTATATAGCGCTTTTCAAGGCACCCAAAGCACTTTACAATGCCACTATTCATTCACACACTGGTGGAGTCTGCCCCAGGGTAGCCACAGCTGCCCTGGGGCAGACTGACAGAAGCGAGGCTGCCATATCACGCCATCGGCCCCTCTGGCCAACACCAGTAGGCGGTAGGGTAAAGTGTCTTGCCCAAGGACACAACGACCAGGACAGAGAGCCCGGGGATCAAACCGGCGACCTTCCGGTTACAGATACGCTTCCCAACCCCCTGAGCCACGGTCGCCCATAAGTAAGTATTATGCCATATTTATTGTGATATCTGGAAAAATAAATACTGTTTTTTTCTCTCACTTTTTCTGGAATACGCTAACTCAGGATTGATGCCATTCCCGAGTTCTGACATCTAAGATCCAAGTTATTTGGAATAGTCTAAGTCTTTTTGGAACCACAGCTATCACCCCAGGTGGCCATTAAAAAGAATGCAGGTTCGAAGCACGTCTGCACTGGCTTGACTCTTCAAACTAGGAAGCTGTGTCTTTGTCCAGTATGCAGAAAGTCTATTTCGAGATAAAGGAACATATCAAATATTTGTTTTTGTTCAGCTCACAGTGTTAACTTGCACTGCACATGCTCTTAGCATAATGAGAGGAACAAACAGATGTGCAGAGGAACTAGGCTGTCATGTGTCTCAAAGGGTGAACTATGGACTTAGAGCAATGTCCCACTCCATGTAAAAAAAAAAAAAAAAAAAAAAAAAAAAAATCACAATGAAGTAGGTACTCAAACCAGGTTATTAGTTAGGTGCTGTAACCTTTGATAGCGATATAGGCGAAGCTGCCCACCATAACATAGCAGTCTATACAGAGAAAACCTTTTAAATAGACTCATGCAGAACACGACCCCCCCCCTTTATTTTATTTATTTTTACTAAACAGGCAGCTGCACATTTCCACTAGTTTTTATAGCGATTAGTTAAGTTACCGTGAGTTTGCCTGTGCATTTGGTAAACAGGATTTTCCAGGAAACCAAATTTCATGGGAACGTGCTAAAGACGTGTTAGCACTAATCTCCATAACTCCCCCCGCACCTCCCGTAGTTTATCTAAACCGTGTTACGGTGTTCAATCAGCCATATAACCCATCAAACCAGTTGATAACGAGTTAGCGTTCAAATATAACCCCACGGTGTTAGCTTGTTTGTTGTTATAAATCAGTATTTCTTCGCGAGGAGGAGGGAAAGGGACAGGAAAAAACGGACACGCACACACACAGGAGAAGTGAGCCGCAGGCGCAAACTAGCTTCAGCATTGCTTCAGCAGCTGCCTTGCGAACACAGTTCGGTGTAGACTTTCAAGATGGATGCTTCGCCTCGATAGGTTTCTGTTTCCTTTTTGAAACCGACGACAGTAACGCCGAGTCCCCACGCGAGGAGGCATGTGGAGGACTGAGGGGCTTTCATGAGTAAACAGACGCGTTGTTTATGAAACGATAAACGTGAAGCTACGTGGATATTTTTGCTTCTACGTGCTGTGGACAAACAGCTATTTTCTAACTTCCTGGTTTTCGTGTTAATATGTGTATTGAAACGGCGGCGACAGGAGCTCGAGTGACTTTGAAAGGTTTATCTGACGTGGGATACATGGGATCTAATTACCGAGTTGTGATGTTTGAATCCGGGGAGAGCAGTTTTCAGCGAAAGGAAAAGGGAGGCCGACAGATTTCATAAGCAATGGAAAGTGGGAATGGTGGTGCCTCGAGTAAAGGTGATGAGCCCTTTCCCCCCACCAGCACCACTTATACGACTTTCACTTCAAGATTTAAAAGAAAAAGTCGTGTGGTGGGAGATTTTTCTCCTGCTTTACTCGACACCTGCTAATGTTATGTGTTAAAACTGAAAATAAATGCGTAGATAAGGATATCCAATGGGGACAGCCTGTTCCAGGATTGAGAAACAGCTCGGAGAGTTTTTTTCCCCTTGGTTGAAATCCAATCCGCAGTTGCCTGTAATTTTCCAGTCTCTCGTGGATTTTGCGCTCATGTTTGCATTCTGTCCACTTTCTTTAGGTGTCTTGATACCTGTGCCAGACTCTTCTGACATCTTTAAAAACAGTATCTTGGCTCCACTTCAACGTGCATACTTGTATGATGAGTCGAAGCAGTGTTTCAGATACAAGTCTGCTGTTTTGGTAAAGAATCCAACTTTGGAAGAAAAGGTTAGTCTAAGTCTTTCCCCAGCATTTAAGTAGATTTTTATATAGCCCCAGTATAACCACATTTAAATAACACGTGGTCGTTAAACCCCACCAGATGGTATCTTATACACATGCGGTGGGTTTTGTTTCTCTTTTATACATATAATATTGAAGATTTCCCCTCTTTTGAGCTCATAAGAAATCCCACAAGGGTAAAATTTCTCATGCCTGAAACAGGAACTGCTCTTACATGAAGCACAGCCTTTATTCTGATTTCCTTATTTCTTTTTTTAAAATTTGTTTTGTATCAGTACAATGCCTTCCGAGCAAAAAGGAGAGACGCTGGGTATTCAGACGAGGATCTAGAGGAGTCCTATGGCTTTTTGCTCTTTGACGATGTCAACAAGGTACAGACTGGAGGTCACAGACACAGCTGAGAAAACGCACACAATCAACCGAATCCTCATACCGTGCTCCTTTTTTTTTTGTTTTAAAGGCTAACGCACTCCGAGAAACCGGTGTGCTCACTGGAAATAGCACATGTACAACTCTGGGAGATCCTTCTAAAGGTATATATATATATATATACATGTATTTTTTATCCTCCACCGTGTCCTTCCCTCCCTCAGTCTGAGCCTGATATCATATGATATCTATGTGTTAAAACTCAACGTTAAAATCTTATTCTAATAAATTCCTTAGCTGTAAACCTATAACAATACTAATAAGCAGGATTTTACCTAGGCCAGATATAAGTTGTCCTTCATGTTTGCAGATCAAGCTAAAGAATAGTCCATGTTGTTTGTCCAGTGCTGCCTTGTTTTGAAAGTGAAAGCAAATTAAAGCCCCGAATGTATACAAATGAAAGTGAAAGAATGTGTGAAACAGAAACTATACATTACATGAGGTTTTCGGGATATTGGTGTTTAAGGAAGACTGGCATTTCTTTCTGTTTTGCACTGCGAGTTGTATTCTTGTTAGCTCTGTTTAGCCTTAAAACTCCCAGTTTAAAATGCTGCTGGGACACCCACGGGGCCCAGTACGGACTGTGATAAAGAGTAGCCGTTATCAAGAGCAAACTTTGGTCAAAGTCAGTTTTTATGGAGCTGTTTTGCAGTGAACTGTAGGAGAAAATGGCACCGGCTTGACACTTTAAAACAACAGCTTCAGTGTGTCACATGTTATCGACTCAGCCAGTGGTTTTTTTTGTTTGTTTTTTTTGCTGCACATCCTGTGCAGACTTGCAGTTGTGCAATAGGTTTTTTTTCATGACCTTTCTCTCATAAATGTTGTAATTCTCGACATGTTTGTTACTTGACATTCCTAATTAAAAAAGTCTAAAAAGTACAAGACGGAACAGACTTCTTAGACTAGTTTGTGGCTGTCTACCTCGCCTTATAACTTGCTCTTGAGTATGTCACTATTTTTCAAGCATTTTCTATGAAGTTTTCTTTTCTTTTCTTTTTCAAAACTGACTCAGTTACTTGTACCATAAGCAGGAAAACGCATGTTATTGCATTTTAACTATGTAACTAGATTTTATTTTATTCTAAACTGATAAATGTTACCGTTATGGTCTGTTGAAATTTAGTGTTTACTGCAGTACCTAAGGTAATTCAGTCAGACTGTTGCTCAATGAGGTGTGTTCTTGGAAGTGTGAGACATTCATTTTCCTAGGTGTGGTTGTATTACTCTGGGAGTGACAGACAGCGACTTCAGAGTTATGACTTCACCATGATAGTTGTCTATGAAGTCCTATTACAAATAATTGAACCTCACTGTGTTTATTTTTGACTGAAAACATATTAAGTTTAAATTTTCTGTGTATTTAAAGGTGTTTACATATCGATGTACTCTGATTGTTTGGATCTGAATCGTTGGTATCATGGGAAATCTGGTTACATCGCCATCATCAGGCTGACAAAGGTACTGAAAAAAGAAATGGATGTTTCTAGAAGGATTGTTCCTGCTGTTATAAACACAAAAATGTTGTTATTCTCTGTTATTAACAGGGTAAAGTTAAAAGGGTTTCAGAAAACTATACCCAGAATTTCACAGCACCCACTGTGGGGTTGGACTGCCATGTGTCCGAACAGTTCCCTTCAGTATCTGCACAAACCAGCTCCTTCCTTGCATTTGAGAGAACCCAGGTAAACAAGTTTCTGTGTATGTGTGTATGTATGTGTGTGTGTGTGTGTGTGTGTATATATATATATATATGTATATATATATATATATATATATATATATACCGTATTTTCACAACCATAAGGCGCACTTAAAAGTCTTAGATTTTCTTCAAAAAGTACGGCGCGCCCTATAGCGCAGTGCGCCCTGTGTGTTGTAAGGAGGACGTAGTAGAGAACACCATGAGAACGCGAAAGGGTGAAGTGTGTGCGTTGACTTTATCGCACATACCTGTATAAAAGAACAGGTATGTGCGTTATGCAGGACATGGTTGTTTTAACAACCCTGAAAGTGGCAAAGAGACACGCTTACGAAGCACAGTTTAAACTGAAGGCCATCAGCTACGCGGAGGAACATGGAAATCGAGCAGCGGCGAGAGAATTTAAGATTAACGAATCGATGGTTCGCAAATGGAGGAAGCTAGAAAACAAGCTCCAGCAGGTCAAGAAAACGCAGTTGAGTTTCCGCGGACATAAGGCGAGGTGGCCCGAGTTGGAGGAAAGACTCGAGCGGTGGATCATCGAGCAAAGAACGAGCGGGAGAAGCGTTTCGACGGTCACCATTCGGCTAAAAGCAGTTTCACTTTCACTTTTTATGAAACGGTGCCATTTTTCCATCCGGACCAGGACTACGGTAGCGCAGCAACTTCCAGCGGATTATAAGGAAAAGCTGGCCATCTTCCGCTCCTACTGCAGCAAACACATCGGCGACAAACACATCCAGCGATGGATGACGGATGGAGACCACAGTTTCACCAAGAGTGGAAGGCAGCGCCCGGCGAGTTACGCCACAATTTGCCAATGGATTGTAGATGCTTGGGCTAACATGTCTGCTGGCACTGTTGTTCGAGCTTTCGCAAAAGCCGGCATCATTTCCGAGGAGCCGCACGGCACGGAAAGTGACTCTGACAGTGAAGAAAGTGAACTTGGCATGTTTGATGGAGATTTAGCGCAGCTGTTCAATTCAGACCCAGAGGATGAGGACTTCAATGGGTTTGATTGATGATAAAAATGTGAGTACCAAACTTTGTTTTGCTCCTGCTTTATTTTTAAATACGCACACTTGTATGCTTGTGTGTTGTTGATGATGACGATTACTGGTAATAAAAATGTGAGTAAGGTACCGAACTCAGGTTTGCTCCCGCTTTATTTTTAAATACGCATACGGTACTTGTATGCGCCCTATGATCCAGTGCGCCTTATGTGTGTGTTAAATACAGTAATGGCACACATAACTGAGACTGCGCCTTTTAGCACAGTGCGTCTTATGGTCGTGAAAATACGGTGTATATATATATATATATATATATATATATATATATATATATATATATATATATATATATATATATATATATATATATAAATGAATGAATGAATGAATGAGCAGGGCGATATGGCCAAAAATATTTATCACGATATATATTTGAAAATTTGCGATAACGATATAACTGACGATATAGTTGATGCGAGACAAAATACAACTCCACAACATTACTAGCGCAAAAAGACAACCTTCCATTTATTTTCACTTAAACAAGAAGCTGGTTTTTATGTACATTAAAGCTTTATAAAAATGTAACAGTGCAAATGCAAATTCCTTGCTGAAAGTTTAACCAAAAGGCATTTCCAGTAGAAATGGGCTGACATATCCTGAGCATAACCATGTATAATATCCACTGAAGTTAAAAAGAGGTGCTTTGTAACATTAAACTGCAGTGTGCAGTACGTATTTTTCGGACCATAAGGTGCACGGGATTATAAGGCACATTAAGCGAAACAAAGCAGTCAGATAAATCAAACTTTATTAAACTCATTCTTCTTGCTTCCTCCACTTCTGTACCATTGATTCATTAATGTTGAATTCTCTGGCAGCTGCTCTATTCCCATGTTGTTGCAGTATATGAATGACTAACCTTGTATTGTGGATGGATTATCTCAGTTGTTCTCCTGACTGAAGTTTGGTCCGTTTACAGCATCCTGCCATGCGCTTGCATTTGTCTCTAACTATGAGGAACCTTCACGTTAACTTTTATAAGTGGAAAAGTGTTAGCGTTCGTCCTCCAGCTTCACTGTTTATATTATGCTAACATAGCTGTGTCGCTAGCGATCACGTAGCACATCATTATATACCAGCTAGCCCAACTACAGTAACCCTACAAACGTCACTGCTGTTTAGTTTCCTGTCTTCATTTATGTTGGAAGTGATAGCAGAGCTGTACGTTTGAATTTTTTCAGAAATCTCTCAGTCAGAACATGCTATATCATGCTTAGGTAACTAGCGAAACTAGCGAGCTAACTTCCGCTAGCTTCCTGCTAACTTCTAACTCCGTTAAATGTAATAAATTTTGTTTTCATGGTAAAGCCGCAATGCTGATCGTTTTATTAAAGATGAAAGAATTTAGACAGTTTTTAACTCTCAGTGATGCTGCGGTGTTCGTTTGACCTGAAGCGTACGGAGTTTAGGACCCAGATTACTCCCAGATTTAAGAGCATCTTAGTCCGACAAATACGACAATAACGACGGCCGCTTGCATGTTCTGCAAAAAAATGTGCTTTGTCGTGTATCTGACGGACAAACACCAAACCAGTTCCACATCACTGAAGTTGCACCATTTTTACAAACCAGTTCTGGTTCATCTGTTTCACTCAACAATCGGCCATGTGCGTATGAAAACAAAGGCACTGCGCATGCGCGTTGTACTCATATTCTATTGCGATATTTCATTTTCCTATCGTTGCCTAACATTATACCGGTATTACCGTGAACGGTATAATATGCCCTGATCAATGTAAATAGCTGACCTGACTGGATACCTCCCTGGACTTTTTAGGGGGAGGTAACAATGTTTAAAACGATAACAATAATATTTATATTTATAACAAGGTGCAATAATAATTAATGTGCAATAATAACAGTGTGCAATACACATACACTTATTCTTCTTTTTTATACTAAGTTAATATACTGTGTTGTGTTGTTTGTTACGTTGTGATGTGTCATATCGTGTCGTGTTGTGTTATATGTAGTGCCGACGTAGGACAGTTTTTCCAATTTCATTGTACTACTGTACTATGTATGACTGTGCAATGACAATAAAGAGTTATCTTATCTAATATGGCCCAGATCTATCTATCTATCTATCTATCTATCTATCTATCTATCTATCTATCTATCTATCTATCTATCTATCTATCTATCTATCTATCTATCTATCTATCTATCTATCTATCTATCTATCACACACTGAAGGATATATATTATATTTTAATCAGAATATAGCATCAAGTCAATTAAACTATTGATCTGGGTTGTTAATCAGTTTCAGCTGCTTAGGCGTTAATGAAATCAACCACAGGTGCACTAGAGGGGCAACTACGAGACAATCCGCAAAGAGGAATGGTTTTACACATGGAGGCCACTGATGTTTTTCCCCTCCTCATCTTTTCTGACTTTTTTTTTTTTTTTGGGTTAGGATAGGTCAATGGCACTACTGGCAGCATGAGGTGATACTTGGATCCCACAGTAGTTGCACAAGTAGTCCAGCTCTTTCAGGATGGCACATCAATACATGCCATTACCATTTGCTTTTTCCTCCAGCACAATCCCAAGAAGGCCCGAATTTTCTCTAGTGGGCCTTGTGCTCACAGTGTTGGTATTCTATGCCAATTGGGCTCACCAATTGGCATTTTCCATAGTGCAGGACAATGCCTGGCCTCGTGCCAAAAGTATGTGGACAGTTTTTGGAGATGAAGGAATTGATACCATTAGGTGGCCCACAGGGTCGCCTGACCTAAGTCTAATAGAACAACATTTCGGAGCATTTTGTTTGGGAGGACATCCTCCAAGATACCACCCATCTTCTCATTAGTAGCATGCCCCAACATTGTCAGGCATGCAAGGGTGTGGGGGTCATACAATGTATAGAGTGTGTTGCATCAGTTTTTCACTTTTGGGGGTGTCTTTGAATTTAGCAGTCTGTTGGTTGATAATTTTCATTTCCATCAAAGGATGTGGCATCCCTTTGTTCCTTACACATTACCCTATCTATATAGATATTCATTTAATGAGTTTGTTTTTTTTGGGGGGGGGGGGGGGTTATGGAGCACATTCAAAAAAAACTTTTCATTTGCTAATTGATTTGCCTGAGGTATATCATTGATAAATGTCAACTTAACAAGTCCTCTGTTATTAGTATTGTAGCATTCCGGTGGTGGGGTGGTTTTGTTGTTGTTGTTTTCTTTTTTTTTAACCTTGCTTAGTTACTTCCTTTTATGAATAAGTGCATGTTCAAAAAGAAAAATGAAAGCATACCAGGCTGTTCAAGTACCTTTTTTGTTCTGTCTTGCAGTGTTACATGTATGAGTTGCTAGATGGTGGAAGCAATGCTACAGCACAATCTCCCAGTGCTGCTTGTCCGTTTGCTATTGTATTGTTTTCATATACGGATACCAAAGCAACAATAGCATCACCTCAGGAGAAATGGTATTTTATTATCACATATACATGTTTGTTTTTTAAATCTTCATGTTCTAGTCCGATACCATTCCATGCAATGTGAGATTATTAAAATCATACTGACTTTTTTCTTTTTCTTCTTTTCAGCAAGGAGAAAAAATTATGTAAGTAAAGGCTGGGATTATGATTACACGTAATTTAGATTCTCAAGGAGCTGGAGGGTCACTTTTATGAGGGTTCTGTTTAGTTTTTGTAGAATATGTTTTGTTACATATATTTTACATTTATGTAGTTCACCTACCCCATTTATATCCCCATATAAATCACCTATGAAAACCAACCTTATTTAAGAGCACATTTAAAACAACAGAGTTGACCAAAGTGCTGTACATAAAATAGGAGGGTCACAGAATAAGAACATTAAAAAACTGTAAGATCCAGTGTATACAGACACACTCACAAAAGACCATAAATTAGAGCATAAATGCAATCTCCAAAAGTTGATTCTGTTCATCTGGACGTAGCTTAAATGCAATCGCATCATAAGTTTTGACATTAGGACAAGAAAGGGTACTAGTCTTTAGACCTTGTGATGTTAAAGGGACAAAAGGTGTTAACGCCTTAAAAACATTTAAATGTGTTTTAACATAATGCAGAGAAGATATCAGCAATGATGATTATTTGCTTCCCATCTTTCTGGGAAGGGATTTAAGGTGATTTCCAATTGTACATTAAGAAAGATTATTCAAAAGTGGGAAGCATTCAAGACAATGAGCAGTCATTCCAGTGGTGGACTCTTTCCAGCAAATTCACATCAAGGTCAGGCAATGCAATGGTCAGAGAGACTGCAAAAAAAAGCTAGAGTTACATCGCAGACCCTACAGGCCTCATAGCAAGTTAAATGTTATTAAGGTTGTGACTGTGTAATTAGAAAAAAACAAGTAGAGACTTGTTTGGAAGAGTTACCAGTATAACCTCTTCTTTTTCAAAAGAGCGTGGTAGCATAACAAACTACGAGACTTCTGCAACATTGTCCTTGGGACATGGATAAAAATGGAGATGTTTAGCCATAATCAAATGAAAAAACAAACACAGCGTCTCAGTACAAATACCTTATTAGCAATTATCAGGGATGGTGGTGGCAGGATTATAATTTTTGAGTCAGCTGTGAGGCCAATTTTCGGACAGCTAAAGCTTAGGTCAATCAACAGGACAATGACTACAAGTACAACAGTAAATCTACAACAAAATGGCGGAAAAACACCTCAACCTAATTACTTAACCTAGATAATATTTCTATTATGAAAACCTTATAATTGACGGAGGGTGTATCTTTTTTGTTATTTTTTTATATTTTTTTCATACATGACTAAATACATAATAGATATTTATTGCAATTTTCAAGTGAACGTGCTTTTGTTGTTGTTTTGTTATCATTACTGAAAATTGCATTTTTTTTTTCATGCATAACATTTTTGCTGTTGTATTAAATCATTTCAGTTTTTCATTACTTGCCTTGGAGAGGTGAGCTTCAGATCGGCAGGCAGTTATGCAATGTTGGGCTGAGGTCTAAAGCAGGGGCCTTACTACCTGCCAAGCTGTAAGTTCAATGTGCACATAGAAAAGGGAGATTTAATTCTTATTTGGCTTTGAACATTTAGATTTCATTAAGCTATTTTATGTGCTTTCACTTTTTTTTCTGTTGAAGACCACCAGTGGTGAACGTTGACTGGGTGATTTCGATGTTAGATCTACGACAGCTGTTACCAAGGGCTATTTTTGAAACCTGCTTCACTGGTGAAGGTGTGCTGTTGTTATTTTTTTATTTTTAAAGGTAAAATCTTGGGGAAGTAAACATATTAATAAATGTGGCATTTTGCTGTCTTTCAGTCTTTCTGGATGGCTTGTACTGCAGTCTGTATGAGTTGGTTTCTACTGAGGCAGAAGAAACCAACTCACTTGTTCAGCTTCTGTGGGACATCAAAGAGAAAGATCTTGTGAGTTTTTGTTTACTATCAATCTAATATGAAACACAGAGGACCAAGCAAACTCTTTATGAAACAACTAAAGCAATTAATTGAGCGCTAAACTGTTCACAAACTATTTTATTGTTGATAGACTAAACTGTGAATGATTTCATCGGTGGAAATTTCCAGTGCAATAAAATATTAGGCTCTCTTATATGCAGCTGACAGTATGTGGTTGAGTGTGACTTACCTAACACCCAAAAACCATTACTTATTTACACATAGGCTCTCGTTGTTTTGCTGCGAGATGGTGGATTTTTTATCCTGTTGCACTCGTCCCATTTTCTCTCATATGATGGTAAGACTTAAAATGGTTTAAGTATACTGTTTTGTCAGTTGCATAACAAAATTTTGTCTTTGTTTAGAAAGCTACATATCATGCACAAATTTCTTTTCTTCCCTAGATGCTTGGTCCTGCGCAAGTGAAGTCCTGCAGGGCTTGTTTGTGTTTCCAGATCCTCGAGTTGTAATGAGAGGTCATTGTAACATTTATTAAACACTGAATATAAATGTATTAAATCATTCTAAATTTTGTAACTAGCATTTATTAGAGCTTAATTTGCCATTAAGGCAGTTTAATTACAAGAGCAGATACTAAACAAATATTCTGGCTTGATTTCTCACAGATACCAAATTTGGACAGAAGAACCCTTCTATGACATCAGAAATCCTCCGGATTCTGCCTGTACTAAGCTATGCTGAGGGTGAAGCTGAGAAAACGCCCATCGACCCAAGTGAAGAACTGTGTGAAGTCTTGGCTCAGCATATGCAGAGTTACACTGCACTGATAAATCCTGGTCTGACGTCAAGTCCTTCTCGGGAAGTCAGCATGTTTCCATTTCAGTATGATGTGCCGGATACCCACCTGTACTCGTCCCCTGAATGGACTGATGGGGCAATGCAGAGCTTCAGGTCATATCTGAGCAGACCAACCTCCTTCCAACTGCCAGTATCTAGAGCTTCAGAAATTCTTGCAGCTGGACAAGAGGAGCGGAGGAGAGAAGATCTTGATGATGATGTCTATATCTGTATATCGTCTCCTGAGGAGGCACCTCAGGAGTTGACAGACCCTGTTAATACAGTGTTCGAAGACACATTATCAGACCTGAAATCTTCTGAAAATGTTGAGACATCTGTAGACAATGTTACAACAAGTACCGGAGCACAAGATGATTTAGCATTTGTGCCTCATAATGTGGTTCCAAATGATTTGCAACTGGGAGCTTCTTCCAAAGACAATGAAAAATCCAGTGACCTCAGTGAACTGAACAAAACTGATGATGTGGTGGCAAATAATCTCACTCCTCCTACATCAGATGACCTTCCTGCAGAGCTGATTGTCAGCATCACTTCTGCAGAACAAAGTGTCAGCAATGAGACTCTAAATCTAAGAGCAAAATTACAAGCAGCAGAAGTAAACTCTCTCTGTGATGAGACTGGCTATACTCAAAAGCTTTTGAATATACCTCAGGTCACTAGTTTCACAGAAACAAAACTTAAACTACACACAGGAGGTTCTGGGGGATTGAAAAAAGCATCTAAAGCTTCTGTTGTGCCGTCTACTTTACAGACAGTCAAAACACCAGTGGAGAATGACAATGTAAACAGTCTGAAGGATGAACACACCAAGGAAATACCAGATCACCCACAGCTGAGTAATCCTTCAAATTGGAGGAAATTACAACGGCGTAAGCGCAAATGTGGAAAACTATCTCCAAAAAATAGAAAACTAAGATCAGCTATGGTTGCTTTACCCATAGCAGAAGAGAAAAAAACAGATCCTGAGCATTGCCCTTTAAGAAGGAAAACCGAGCGCTGGGACCTTAAACCAATCATCAGTGAATGTGGAAAGATTTTGGTGCCTCACGGCTCTACAGACTTTGTTGATCAAATTAAATCTTTGAAGGATAAGCTCCAGTCTAACAAAAATGAAGAGTGCTCTGAAAAAATGTTGCTTGATGCCCCAGTGAATGCTGATGACGTGGTCAAATCGGATCCAGAGTCTTGCACTGCTCCAGAGACAGCAGTGGAAGACATGCAGGCTGCTAACATAGTGGAGGGTGGGAATGATCTTCAGAACGTCACTGTTAGTGATGTTAATCCTGAGAAGAAAATTTCAAGGGAGTCAAATTATGGTAATAGTTCATTGCCTTTGAATCCAGAAAGTAATTCCTCAAATAATGAACCCACAGACAGTGTTTCGTCACAAGCAGTTCAGGAAAAACACTCTGAGAACCTCTCCCCTGAAAAGTGCCCAACTAAGAGTGAATTTCTGTTGAGGAAACTAAAATCAGTACTTTTAAGAGGAAAGAGGAAAACGGATCTTGTGACAGAGGACACAGCTCCAAATACTCCTCAGGACACTGAGCCTTGTCTCAAGAAGAGCAAAGGAGCGGACACTGAGTCTGAGGCGCTGACATGTAATGATAAAAATACCCCAACCACCAATGCTGTGGTCACGGAAGTTCAAAAGGTGCAGCCAGTTGACCCTTTGTTTGCGTTTGCCCTTGGCCTGACCCCTAAAGTGATACCGGAGAACTTGAAAAAAACAGAGGATCAGGACTCCAAGCAAAAGACGGACACAGCAAAGACACAGGAACAAATGATTCAGGACAAGCAACCTCAAATCTTGCATAGGGCTTCATCAATTTTTACAAGACGGGGCAGGATAAAAACACTCAAAAAGCACCAAAGCATCTCTGCAGAATGTATCAAAAAGAAATGTAAGTTATGTTTTTGTAATTATAAAGTGTGGAACGCTTGTTTTTTGTCTGATATGTGCAATCTCTTCTGTCATGTACAGGACAAACTAACCCCTTTCCTGACTCTGTCATTCCCATAACTGTCCTCTGCATGCTACTTCTGCACTTTGCAAAGCCTTTGCTAACTTGTGAGCTGTTTTCACACATACACAGCAACCTTGAACTTTTGTCACAATTACCTAGTTTAAATGCATGTGAGAACACAAATGCTTAATGTAACGAAACATGAAACAATCTTTAACCTGCCAGGTGCCTAATGCGATATCTGTATATAATAATACGGGGAATTTAAAGCTAGGAAGTGGTCACCCTGTGTTTTATCTCTTATACATTGTACTTGGGCACCTCAGTGTATAAACCACAGTAGTGAGAATTCAGTTGATGCGAATGTTTCCTCCTTTGTGCTTCGTTTAATTGAGGAATTGTGTGAAAACAGCTAGTTTGCTTTTGCTCCTTTTTGCTTGTGCTGCATTTTTGCTAGCCCTATCAATCTCCAGAGGGTTGACATTATTGGCTAAATAAACCAACACCTTTGTTCTAAACAATGGCATACTTAATATGTTGGTGACAAATTCGTAATGATAATAGACTGGTATATTTCAAATGCTTTCAATGTGCTACATTTTATTTTCATGCTGTTTCTCTTGTTTCTTCTCTGTTTTGTCTTCACAGGGTGGTTGCACTTTCAAACTCCAGCTTGTTTTGCCAGTGAAAAACTCAAAAACAAAGACTGTACTAGCGATAATTCTGTCAGGAAGACTGAAAAAATGAACAGGGCTTACTCACCTGCAGATGCTTTGAACTTACTTGCTGACTTGGCACTCAGTGCCAATAATGACCAGGCCCCTCCACAACCAAACCCATCATTTGAGAGAAAACCTGAGACAAGTTTGAAGAAGTCTGACCTTAAAAAAGACCTTACCAGTGCTGAACAAGAGTCAGTTCTTCATGCTCTGCTTAGACAGCCTGCTGATAGATCCACTCAGCCACATGAGTCTCCTGCACCAAGCCACCTTGTAGTAAACGGTGAACTCGTTGGTTTGGTATCTAAAGAACATGCTTACTCATTGCCCCCATCTTCCTCTCTACTATTGGGTTTGCCAGGTACATCCCTTGTAAGTGATTCTTCGAGACTTCTGCACCATGACCAGACAATGTATGGATTTCAAACACTACAGCCCTCTGTTGGTCAAGAAGACAGAAGTGAATACGACAGGACACCAGAATATCTGAAAAAGCGCATGGCTTGCAGACAAAAGTTCAGATACTCCCGTACTTTTGTTAATATGGAAGGATGTATAAAGATCACAAGACACTGGCAAGAAAACTATGACTTTAATCTGGACAGCAAGTTTACAAGCGATCCAAAAGACAAAACTATTGTTCGAGCTTTGCATGGGTATGTACACAGTTATTTATCCAGTAATATGTCAGCATAAAGTTAAACATGTTGACAAAAGTTATTCTTGTTTATTTTGATAGCGCTGACATTTACTTCAGATGTCGTTATGTAGCTAACCTTTGTACAATTTGATATCTTCAACAGGCCATGGGATTTCTCCATTCAAGACACTAATGAAGAGGTGCGGCTAATTGTCCACATGTGGATAGGCTTGTTTTACAGTCGGTCAACACCACGCCTTTTTCACGTTGAGTCAAATTTTGCGTACTCCTGCTCAGAAGAGAATGATTCATTGGGAATGACGAGTGCAGTTGTATCTGGCTTAACTATATTTGAGCATAAAGACACTGCTGCTTCTTGCCCAAGTGTACCAGACACTTCAGACCCTTTGTTGTCAAATGCTTTGGACCTCAGCCAAAAGGATGACACCATATTGAATCAAGATTCTGTGGTTTTGGATTTGTCACTGAAAAATTCCAGCACCTGTCTACAGTCAGTCACTTCACATCCACAAATCCACAAAAAAGGGCCGCTTGATTCCAGTGAACAGAAAGAACCCAGTGAAACACTGAATTCTTTAAAGCCACTGGGAGAGCTTCATGAGGCAAGTACATTTCAGGTTTGGTTCTAACATTACTATTACTTCAAACATACAATATGAATAATATATGAATTAATTTCTTTTAAAATTAAATGGTTTTCCAGTTTCAGCTACACCTCAGAAATTTTAGGTCTAGACAGCTAGGATGTTTGGATTAGGGATCTGTGTGACTAGTCAACTAGCTGATTAATTGTCACTATTGTCACTAATCAGTATCAGGCTTACTAGTCATTTAGTCTAATTGTTAGAATTTTAATTAATGCCCAGTGCCAGTAAATTGTGTCCTAAATGTTATGAGGCTATTTGTCATCAAATGGCGCATTGTTGTTGAGAAAAGCCATAAATCTGTCTACGTCTTTTGGATGGCCTGGGAAAGACTCTAATCATTTAGTCTAAATTTGTCCTCCTATGTTGCTGAATTCAAAATACAACCAAATGTATAGATCATGAAGTGATATTTGTGTTCAGTCTCTTGGGAAGCTTCCACATATCTTTACACTCATAAAGCTCAAATACCTGGATGATGCGAAACAAGGACATTTCAGCTCTTACCTTGGAGCAACAAAGAAAAAGGCTAACAGTATCTGCTGTTAGAGCAGGGCGATATGGCCAAAAATATTTATCACGATATATATTTGAAAATTTGCGATAACGATGTAACTGACGATATAATTGATGCGAGACAAAATACAACTCCACAACATTACTAGCGCAAAAAGACAACCTTCTATTTATTTTCACTTAAACAAGAAGCTGGTTTTTATGTACATTAAAGCTTTATAAAAATGTAACAGTGCAAATGCAAATTCCTTGCTGAAAGTTGAACCAAAAGGCATTTCCAGTAGAAATGGGCTGACATATCCTGAGCATAACCATGTATAATATCCACTGAAGTTAAAAAGAGGTGCTTTGCAACATTAAACTGCAGTGTGCAGTACGTATTTTTCGGACCATAAGGTGCACGGGATTATAAGGCACATTAAGCGAAACAAAGCAGTCAGATAAATCAAACTTTATTACCGTATTTTCACGACCATAAGACGCACTGTACTAAAAGGCGCAGTCTGTTATGTGTGCCATTACTGTATTTAACACACACATAAGGCCCACTGGATTATAGGGCGCATACAAGTACCGTATGCGTATTTAAAAATAAAGCGGGAGCAAACCTGAGTTCGGTACCTTACTCACATTTCTATTACCGGTAATCGTCATCATCAACAACACACAAGCATACAAGTGTGCATATTTAAAAATAAAGCAGGAGCAAAACTGAGTTTGGTACTCACATTTTTATTACCAGCAATCGTCATCATCAACAACAAACAAGCATACAAGTGTGTGTATTTAAAAATAAAGCAGGAGCAAAAAAAAGTTTGGTACTCACATTTTTATCATCAATCAAACCCATCGAAGTCCTCATCCTCTGTGTCTGAATTGAACAGCTGCGCTAAATCTCCATCAAACATGCCAAGTTCACTTTCTTCACTGTCAGAGTCACTTTCCGTGCCGTGCGGCTCCTCGGAAATGATGCCGGCTTTTGCGAAAGCTCGAACAACAGTGCCAGCAGACATGTTAGCCCAAGCATCTACAATCCATTGGCAAATTGTGGCGTAACTCGCCCGGCGCTGCCTTCCACTCTTGGTGAAACTGTGGTCTCCATCGGTCATCCATCGCTCCCAGGCCGCTCGCAGCCTTACTTTGAACGGGCGGTTCACACCGATGTCCAGCGGTTGGAGTTCCTTTGTCAGGCCTCCCGGAATGACAGCAAGCTCACAGTTAATTTGTTTCACTAGTTTTTTCACATCGGCTGTGAGATGGGCACGCATAGAGCCACAGATTAAGAGCGATGGTGATGCGTGGAAAAAACCACCTGGTCTCCTTACATACACCTCCCTCAGCCACTCTTTCATCATTTCCTCATCCATCCAGCCCTTTTCATTTGCCTTAATGATGATTCCTGCTGGAAACTTCTCTTTAGGCAAAGTCTTTCGCTTAAAAATCACCATAGGCGGCAGTTTCTGTCCATTAGCATGGCAGCCAAGCACAACAGTAAAAGAAGACTTTTCATACCCCGTTGTGCGTATCGCTACCGTGCTGGTCCCCTTCTTCTCCACAGTGTGACTCACCGGGATGTCAAAAGTGAGCGGGACCTCGTCCATGTTTGTGATGTGGCTGGGCTGGATGTTTTTGTCGCCGATGTGTTTGCTGCAGTAGGAGCGGAAGATGGCCAGCTTTTCCTTATAATCTGCTGGAAGTTGCTGCGCTACCGTAGTCCTGGTCCGGATGGAAAAATGGCACCGTTTCATAAAACGAAAGCACCAAGACGGACCTCCTTGGAAATGTTCAATGTTCATCTCTTCAGCTAGTGAAACTGCTTTTAGCGGAATGGTGACCGTCGAAACGCTTCTCCCGCTCGTTCTTTGCTCGATGATCCACCGCTCAAGTCTTTCCTCCAACTCGGGCCACCTCGCCTTATGTCCGCGGAAACTCAGCTGCGTTTTCTTGACCTGCCGGAGCTTGTTTTCTAGCTTCCTCCATTTGCAAACCATCTATTCGTTAATCTTAAATTCTCTCGCCGCTGCTCGATTTCCATGTTCCTCCGCATAGCTGATGGCCTTCAGTTTAAACTGTGCTTCATAAGCGTGTCTCTTTGCCATTTTCAGGGTTGTTAAAACAACGATGTTCCACATAATGCACATACCTGTCCTTTTATACAGGTATGTGCGATTGTCCGGTATATACGATCAACGCCCACACTTCACCCTTTAGCGTTCTCATGGTGTTCTCTACTACGTCCTCCTTACAACACACAGGGCGCACTGCGCTATAGGGCGCGCCGTACTTTTTGAAGAAAATCTAAGACTTTTAAGTGCGCCTTATGGTCGTGAAAATACGGTAAACTCATTCTTCTTGCTTCCTCCACTTCTGTACCATTGATTCATTAATGTTGAATTCTCTGGCAGCTGCTCTATTCCTGGGTGTGGGTCCCAATCAGCCAGAGTTTCGGGTGTGTTCATTGTGAAACCTGGCCCCACCTTATCATGCGAATTCCTGAGGTCAGATGGCCCAGGATGTGAGTGGGCGTTAAGGCGTCTGGGAAGGGATCTCAAAACTGGATTATAGATGGCAGAGAGTTGGTGTCGTAAACCCCCGCCTCTGTTCAAAGATGGTCGCTCACAGTGGACATAGATGGCTTCTTTCACTCCTCTTTCAAACCATCTGTCCTCTCTGTCCAAAATGTGAACATTGGCATCCTCGAAAGAGTGTCCTTTATCCTTAAGATGCAGATGGACTGCTGAGTCTTGTCCTGTGGAGGTGGCTCTTCTGTGTTGTGCCATGCCACCTCCACAGGACAAGAGATGGAACAAGAGCAGGTGAGACAGACATGTTAGTCAAATGGTCGTTTACCAAAAGTATCACCGTATCATAGGTACTCATGTATCTCGTACCTAGTGTTTCTTTTTAGGTTTGTTATTTTTCAAATTCTATATTTATTAAGTTATGCAGGCTTGTTTGCACAACAAGGCTAAATAATTATATAAACTTTTCTCAATCTAAATAGTGTACTTTGGTAGAATTAAAAAAACAAGTGTAGTGCAGGTACAGTGGGGCAAAAAAGTATTTAGTCAGCCACCGATTGTGCAAGTTCCCCCACCTAAAATGATGACAGAGGTCAGTAATTTGCACCAGAGGTACACTTCAACTGTGAGAGACAGAATGTGAATAAAAAATCCATGAATTCACATGGTAGGATTTGTAAAGAATTTATTCGTAAATCAGGGTGGAAAATAAGTATTTGGTCAATGACAAAAATACAACTCAATACTTTGTAACATAACCTTTGTTGGCAATAACAGAGGTCAAACGTTTACTATAGGTCTTTACCAGGTTTGCACACACAGTAGCTGGTATTTTGGCCCATTCCTCCATGCAGATCTTCTCGAGAGCAGTGATGTTTTGGGGCTGTCGCCGAGCAACACGGACTTTCAACTCCCGCCACAGATTTTCTATGGGGTTGAGGTCTGGAGACTGGCTAGGCCACTCCAGGACTTTCAAATGCTTCTTACAGAGCCACTCCTTTGTTGCCCGGGCGGTGTGTTTTGGATCATTGTCATGTTGGAAGACCCAGCCTCGTTTCATCTTCAAAGTTCTCACTGATGGAAGGAGGTTTTGGCTCAAAATCTCACGATACATGGCCCCATTCATTCTGTCCTTAACACGGATCAGTCGTCCTGTCCCCTTGGCAGAAAAACAGCCCCATAGCATGATGTTTCCACCCCCATGCTTCACAGTAGGTATGGTGTTCTTGGGATGCAACTCAGTATTCTTCTTCCTCCAAACACGACGAGTTGAGTTTATACCAAAAAGTTCTACTTTGGTTTCATCTGACCACATGACATTCTCCCAATCCTCTGCTGTATCATCCATGTGCTCTCTGGCAAACTTCAGACGGGCCTGGACATGCACTGGCTTCAGCAGCGGAACACGTCTGGCACTGCGGGATTTGATTCCCTGCCGTTGTAGTGTGTTACTGATGGTGACCTTTGTTACTTTGGTCCTAGCTCTCTGCAGGTCATTCACCAGGTCCCCCCGTGTGGTTCTGGGATCTTTGCTCACCGTTCTCATGATCATTTTGACCCCACGGGATGAGATCTTGCGTGGAGCCCCAGATCGAGGGAGATTATCAGTGGTCTTGTATGTCTTCCATTTTCTGATGATTGCTCCCACAGTTGATTTTTTCACACCAAGCTGCTTGCCTATTGTAGATTCACTCTTCCCAGTCTGGTGCAGGTCTACAATACTTTTCCTGGTGTCCTTCGAAAGCTCTTTGGTCTTGGCCATGGCGGAGTTTGGAGTCTGACTGTTTGAGGCTGTGGACAGGTGTCTTTTATACAGATGATGAGTTCAAACAGGTGCCATTCATACAGGTAACGAGTGGGGGACAGAAAAGCTTCTTACAGAAGACGTTACAGGTCTGTGAGAGCCAGAGATTTTCCTTGTTTGAGCTGACCAAATACTTATTTTCCACCCTGATTTACCAATAAATTCTTTACAAATCCTACCATGTGAATTCATGGATTTTTTTTTCATATTCTGTCTCTCACAGTTGAAGTGTACCTCTGGTGCAAATTACTGACCTCTGTCATCATTTTAAGTGGGGGAACTTGCACAATCGGTGGCTGACTAAATACTTTTTTGCCCCACTGTATATGATGATTTTTAGTGCTACTTTCATCTAGTTCTGATTGTGGTTCTGTCTTGGTTAAATCCCAAGTAGTCCTGATTTTGAACTGTTGTAGTCCTGTTTTAATTCTGGATCAGTTCTGGGTCTGGTTGAATTGGGGTTTAGTCCTCGTGTCTTGATACAGCCCTGACCTTGTTCTGCCTTGCTGCTTAATTAAAAAACTAGTTTAAGGTGTCCTGCACATGTGATATATATTTTTCCCTATATGAAGTCATTCTTTCTTTGAACAAAACTCAAAACAGAGCCTATTAATCTTTCAGTCATTTCTACCCCCCCCCCCCCCCCCCCCCCAAAAAAAAAAGTAAAAAAAATCCCACATGCATACTACCCTTTTGGGCTAAGCCCCAGGTGTTTCAAATGTCTGGCTCCGCCTCTGGTTAAATGTAATAAATTTTGTTTTCATGGATGCCTGGAAGTTAAACTTCATAGTTACACCTGGTATAGCAGCAATGCTGATCGTTTTATTAAAGATGAAAGAATTTAGACAGTTTTTAACTCTCAGTGATGCTGCAGTGTTCGTTTGACCTGAAGCATACGGAGTTTAGGACCCAGATTACTCCCAGATTTAAGAGCATCTTAGTCCGACAAATACGACAATAACGACGGCCGCTTGCATGTTCTGCAAAAAAATGTGCTTTGTCGTGTATCTGACGGACAAACATCAAACCAGTTCCACATCGCTGAAGTTGCACCATTTTTACAAACCAATTCTGGTTCATCTGTTTCACTCAACAATCGGCCATGTGCGTATGAAAACAAAGGCACTGCCTATGCGCGTTGTACTCATATTCTATTGCGATATTTCATTTTCCTATCGTTGCCTAACATTATACTGGTATTACCGTGAACGGTATAATATGGCCCAGCCCTATCTGCTGTTTTGTATAAAATGTTTTGACATTAAATACAAACCACTCAGTCTGAAATGTTCAATTAACATATTGCATGAATTAAATTGATATTTTAGTGTGATTTGTTTATATTTTCTGTTAACTCTTTCTTTTTCAGCCTTCTGAAAACATGGTTCATTCCAAAACGATTGTGACTGACGTGAAAAATTTCATAAAGCCTCATGAAGCTAAGCAGACCAGTCCTCACAGTAAAACTATCTGCCTGGAGAAGATTGATTTTCCATCTATTAGAGGTGATGGAATAGACATTCCTCTTCAAAAAGTGGCACAAAGTGCATCTGTCAAGGTCACCACTGCTGTGGCACAATTTGGAATTGGTCAAGTGTTACTTGGATGTGGTGAAGAGGGGAAAAATATGCAAGAGAGCACTAAAAATCTAGGAGCTAAAGAGATGGACTTGGTGAAACAAGGTGCAATGGATTCCTTTTCATTTGTGAAACCTGAAAAAGGAGACCTCAATATGGAAGTAGAAGGTGTGGTTCAGACAGATGAGCATGAAAAAAACAAATTGAAAAAACTGGCAATGTGTGAAAGGAAGGAACACCCAAGCCAAGAAGGTAATGCAGAGCCATCTCAAAAGGTTAGTCATGCAGGTGATGATTCTGGAAAGAAATCAGATATTATTGCCTGCAATGGAAATTGTGTAGAAAGTGAGAAGCTATTATCAAAGGAGGAGCATAAAGGAGTCTCACAAGAACATCGCGGACATTTTAAAGGGTTTCTGGCCTGTGACCTAAAGCATAAGGCTAAAGTGATGAAAGAATATGGTCACTCTAAAGAAAATGGACTATATGAGAAAGAAAACTGCATGTCTGCTGGAAAGGATTTGACTGATCAGCCATTACCTGTAATGTGTAATGGTCCAGACTTGGTAAACAACAACTACATTACACGCAGTAATCATCAAGCAGAAATGAACGAGCAACCACCAGTAGTAAGCAACACCAACAATGTCTGCCATGGCTTACCTCCGATGCTTTGTGCAGATGGTATTGCACTGGCAGATGGCTATTTCATTTCAGAAAATAATTCTCACACTCCTTTGGGAATTAAATCCAAATACAGGAAGCCTGCAACTAAGAAAATCTCCCCCCAAAAAAATTATTTGAGAGATGAGGCATTTCAATCAGCAGTATTACTTGTATCTGATGGAAGCTCGCCTATGCCTCTGGTAAAAGACAGTTTTGAAATGGAGAGCCAAAACAAAGAAATAACAGACTGCAACAATGTTCAAAGTAATAATGATCAAGAAGATCAGAAAATTAAGTCAACAGAGGAAGAGGTAAAGGATGACAAAGAGCAATTTCAGTGCCAGGTTCATTCACCGCTGTGTGAGGCTCCAAAAGCATCTGATGGACAAGTGGCATTTACTGAAGAAGCAGATTTCAGGACTAATAAAACAAATGAGGGTCTGAACAAAGGTTGCATTGCATTTGAAAGTCCTTTTACTGGAATGAACCCTTCAGAAAAGGTTATAGTACTGGTAAAGGATGACAGTGCAAGTCACAAAAACACATTTGGTCAAAGTAACAATGATCATGAAGATCAGAAAACTAAGTCAACAGAGGAAGAGGTAAAGGATGAGGAAGAGCAATTTCAACACCAGGTTCATTCACCTCTGTGTGAGGTTCCAAACGCAAGTGAGGTAAAAGTGGCATTTACTGAAGAAACAGATTTCAGGACAGATGAAACAAATGAGGGATGGAACAAAAGCTGCATCTCAGATGAAAGTCCTTTTACTGAAATAGATCATTTAGAAAAGGTAGGGCCAGTGGATGACAACTTACAAAAAACATTTGAACCCCAGCCTCATTCACCCCAGTGTAAGTTTCCAAAACGATGTGAGACAGAAGTGGCATTTACTAAGGAAGAAAGCCTCACAGAAGAAGAATTCATAACAAACAAAGAAAATGAGGGATTGGGTAAAGGTTGCACTGGAATTAAAAATTATTTTATTGGAATACATGCGTCAGAAAAGGTTGGAGTACAGGTTAATGATGACAGTGCAATAAGCAAAATAACATTTGGTCAAAGTAACAGGGATTGTGAAGACCAGGAAACGATGTCAACAGAGGACGTAGTAAAGAATGACAAAGAGCAGTTTCAGCACCAGCCTCATTTACCCAAATGTGAGTCTCCAAAATTATGTGAGGCACAAGTGGCATTTACTGAAGAAGCAGATTTTAGGACTAATGAAACAAATGAGGAACTAGACAAAAGTTCCATTGCTATTGATATTCCTTTTACTGGAAGAGACCCTTCAGAAAGGGTAACAGTACAAGTAAAGGATGACAGTGCAATTCACAAAAACACATTTGGTCAAAGTAACAATGATCATGAAGATCAGGAAACTGTGTCAACAGAGGAAGTTAAGGATCTCAAACAACAATTTCAACACGAGGTTCATTCACCTCCTTGTGAGGTTCGAAAAATATGTGAGGCACAAGTGGCATCTACTAAGGAAACAGACCTCAGAACAAATGAGGGATTGACCAAAAGTTGCACTGGGGTTGAAATTCCTTTTATTGGACTAGATAGATCAGAAGAACTTATAGTACAGGTAAAGGATAACACAGCAACATTTCAACGCCAACTCCGGTGGAAGATTCCAAAAATGTGTGAGGCAAACATGGCATTTGCAGAAAAAACAGATGTTGGAAGAGACAAAAAAAATGATAGACTGGACAAACGTTGCACTGAGGATGAAATTCCTTGTATTGGAATGGATGCCTCAGGAAAGGATGCAGTACTGGCGAAAGTTGATAATGCAACTGGCAAAGAACAATTTCAATGCCAGCCTCAGTCACTTCTGTCTGAAGTTCCAAAAATATTTGAGGCACAAGTTACATTCACTAAAGAAATGGATCTCAGAGCAGAGTGCAAAACAAATGAGAGATTGGATAAAAATTGCAGTGGTGTTGAAATTCCTCTTATTGGAATAGATTCCTCAGAAAAGATTAGTGTACATCTACATGGCTCACACCCCCAAGGCAAGTCTGGAGAAGTGGTACAAGGCCAGGAAGAAATTCCATTCATCAGTGACTCTAGCTACTCTAAAGCTGCACTGACCAGTGAGATATGTAGTACATCTCAAGCATGTAGTCAAAAAGAAGAACCTTGCAAAATGTTACTTCTTGATATAAATGAAAGTTACGGGCCAGTAGACTTTGGTATGGAGTCAGATGACCGATGCCCTACTCCAACTATAGATGAAAAACCATATGAGTACCCATCTTGTTCTAGCCCAGGCAAAAGCAATTCTGCATTAAGTAGTAGTATAACTGGCAAAAACTTGAATCGTGAATGCCTCAACACAAGCTCAGCACCTGTAAATGGTGAGCTGCCTTGTGAGAAAAAACTTTGTCACAGTTCCATTGTTAAGACTGATTCCAGCCTTCACCAGATTCTCCATCCTGATCTTGAAGCAAGGACTCTAAGAGTTCTACAAAGTATAGACAAGTTCCTGTCCAAATCAAACCACATTGACAAGTCCTGTCAGATCGAAACACCTAAAATGAAAGAGTCTGTTGCTCAATCCCCTGAACCTAGTAGCAAATGTACCCCAAGTTCTTTAGCCTTTGACCAACCTACAGTTGACTTTAAGGATAAGAAAATAGGCAATGAAAAGTCAGCTCTTGTGTCATCTTCTACCTCACAGGATCTGCACATAGAATCATCAGATAACTTACTTGTATCACCTTTTAAAAGTAAATTGGAAGAAGTGCTTGGTGTCAAGTTGAATATAAAGAAAACTGACTCGGTTCCTCAGGAATATTTTGAAAGAGTCGGTATACAAGAAACCTTGATAGGGCAGGATGGCCAGTTCCCCAGAAATTGTCCATCCGAGTTGTTCCAAGTCATTAAACCAAGTTTAGACCAAGAGAGACCTAAACCAACACTGCAGTCGAATGTAAATCAGGAATCCCGTGCATACAATCATTGTCCTGTCTTGGCTGTCAAACCATCGAAGAATGATGAATGTCAAGCAGATTACTTCTTAGTAGATACACAAATTGAAAATTCTCTCAAAAACAACCCACCTAAAACCCCTAGACTGGAATATAGCAAGCCAACATCTGTGCTCTCAGAAAAGAGGACAAATGCAAAATCTAAAGGATGTTCTGAAAGACTAAATGATAACCAGGATGCCAGTCAACTTTCCTTCAAAACTACTTGGCTTCCAGTTGTTGGTAATAGTAGATCAAATTCATTTCCCTCATATCAGTACCAGAGAAAGGATCTTTCAAAATTCGACATGAATCTGTCATTGCCACCACCTATGGAGTCTTTTGAATCTGCAAAAAGTTCCTCAAAACGTGTTGATGAAATTCAAGGTTTCTTAACAAATGGTTTAGCTCAGAAAATTGAGCAAACTGTTAGAAAAAATATTGAGATGGATCTCAAAGACCCCTCCAGTGCAGCAGCTTCATTTATAGATCAAATAAATAGCGACAACATAGATAAAAGTCTGGTCTTGGGGCCTCAAAGCTCACTTGTATGCACAGTCTATAACAATAGTCAGAAGAGATCTTATTCGTTTCTGGAACAAGTTTCTCGGAGGTGCATTCAAGATGATCTCACTCAGGCGTCAGTTGAACAAGAATCCCTCATTTTCTCAGAACAAATGAAACAGGCTTTGAAAAAGAGTGAGAGGAGACCCACCCACCAAGAAGACAGTCATGACAAAATAAGGCTGTCTTGCACTAGTCCTTTGACTATCAACTTCTCTAATCTAGACGAGCAAGAGGATTCACTGGATCACTTGGGAACCTCTCTTATTGGACAAAAAATTAAGGTAGACCTGTCCAACAGGAAGGATGCAACTGACAAAAATGAAGAAAAGATGATTTGTCCTGGAGAACTTTCTGAAGGCAAAGATAACACTGTGGAACATGACTGGGTTTCTGATGTGACTGTGGAATGTGCCAGACTGTATGAAGCAAAAATGCAAGATGTTTGTGCTTTCAAAAAAGTCTCAGCTAAAGCCAAACACTTCCGAAGGAGTTGCACTAAGACTGAACCAAGTAACCATTTTGACTTCTGTGAACAAATGAAGAAAGAAATGGATAAAACGTTCCGGACTAATCTAAATTCAGTTGTGAAGAAGTCCTGTAGAACAAAGTATAGGTTCTACATGCTAGCAACGTCAGAAGATGTCTTCTTTGAACAAACCAAGGTAAAACACTTTTTTTAAAATAGTGTTCTCAGCCATATAATGTTTATAAGCTATATCTCAGACATGTCTGATCAAATTCAATTACACAAGATGCTTGTATATGAAAGGTACAAGAAAAAAGTTAGTCATTGGTCAGAAATAGATATTGAATACAATAGTCAAGACAGATGTTGGTGTAAAGTACTGGGCCTACTCCCTCAGTATAATCAGTTTATATGATTTCCATTAGTATATTCAGTGTTTTTCACATATTTCCTTCAGACTATGGCTGAATACCACCCTAACCCATTTAAACTAAACAGAACCACCAAAAGGATTGTTTTGAACCTGGCTTGGAACAGTAGCAGCAATGGCAAAGAAATCCTCTCTTACAGAACTTTTTTTGTAAATATATTTTATTAGTATTGGAAATAATTTGGAGTCATTCATTACAGATTATAATGGTCAAACATATTTTAGAACCCATTAAGACGTCGGTCACAGAGGCTTACAGACCACTTGGGGGATGACTTATAAAGCCCTGTCACGGGGGGGTGACTATTCCCTGACTGGTTTTAAGTGGTTGCTGGCTGTTGCTCTGAAATTGATTGCTAAACCCCAGTGGGATTTACTTACCTGGATGATTGAGCATGCATCAAGACATCTGAACCAAAACCACTTGCAAATGCTTCTGGTGTAGCAGGTTGCCTGTGGTATGTGTGGAACTTGCTAAACGGTTGTGAAACTGTGAAGTGTGAAGCAAACAGACAACAGAAACAGGTTGCCTTCAAAGTAAAAGTTGGGCCTTTTGAAATGTCTTGGGTTTTAGCATTAAGGTTTCCTGTTTGTGTCAGACTTTTTCAAGTTTTAGTACTTCTCAGTGGTTAGTTAGCAAATGTTTGCTGACAAGTCAACATCTTCCGTGAAGACTTCAGGCAACTTTGGCATTCTGCTAACAGCCAAATCAGTCACAAGAGTTTGAGAGTTTCTGGTGTAGCACTGTATGTCTTTTGCAAGAAATTTAGCCTAGCAACAGCTGTAACCACTCACCAACCTATCAGGGAATAAACATAGTGACCGGAGGCAGATATCTTCTCTTCACCGTATCTTCCTCTCTCTCATTCAGCATCTACACTGATCCACCCCAGTATACAGCCCCTTACCTATTCTGGACTGAAACCCATCCAATTTGGATTTTGCTCTTTATTTGCTAGGATTTGTTTTCACAGACTCTGGACTCAGTTCAGCTAAGGTTTTCCCCATTGCACCAACATCAAACTGCCGGCCTCTCAAACATTCATTATGCATGCACTCTGCTCCACTCTGCCTAATATCTCATCACTGTTTTACCCTACCTTGTCTTTAATCTAACTATAGTCCCCATAGTACTCCCCATAGTACTCATATAGTACTCATCTAGCCATCTCATGTAGCTGTCTCTGATTTATGAAACGCATGCCTTCATATCAAAAAGTATGTACCCTCCATACAGTGATTGTTGACTGCAGCATATTACATTGTTTTCTTTGAACATCAACATTGTGTTGATTGGGTAAATAACTATTGATGGTTCCAGGTATGAATGGTGGTAATTTTTTTTCTTTAAATCCCCAAATTTATTATATGAGGAATAAGTCAATTTAGAAAAAGTAATGAAATAAGAGATTGTGGGGTTTGTAACTGAGTTACATGATTTTAAAATGCCAAATGGTTCAAAATGAACCCTCTGGTGGTTCTAGTGCATAAGGTAAGGGTCAGATTCAAATGTAACAAAATATCTATACAACTTAAAATGAATTGTTGTTTATTTCTCACAAGCTTGTGCTTATAGTAGCCATTATTGAGGTGTGACAGTAAAGGATCTAAGCTGTTTTTCATAACCCTTGTACATATAAAATATAAACTTGCCATATATTTTATAACTTCTCACTGAGTAATAATTTTATTTCAATAGGCACAGTTAGAGGCAGAGGGCCACACTCCTGTACAGCCATCTGAATTCTTCCCTGGTGATGATTGTTCTTCATCTTTGATCATCATCCTCAAGAATGAAGACATTGCTGAGCATATTTGTGAGGTAATGGTTCTATTGGTGTAAAAAATCACAACAAAACTTAAATAAAAGTTATTAAAGACTCAACTTTCTGCTTTTCAGGTCCCACACTTGCTTGAGCTGAAGAAGTCACGGCATGTGCAGTTTGCTGGAATTGATGAACCAGATGATGTTTTGAATCTCACACATCAGGAACTCTTCATGCAGGGTGGTTTTATAATGTTTGACAGAACAGCGCTGGATGCTCTCAGCCTTTGTATGTGCACTTTTATTGGGCACTAGTTTTCTGTGTTTGGAGTATTTTCATTATTATTAATTTAACTAATTGCTTGAACCTTGAATGAATTTGTAGGTAACATGAAAAAGGTGTCTGAAATCTTGCTAGAGCTAAGCAAAATGGGAAAATGGAAATGGATGTTGCATTACAGAGACAGCCGTCGATTAAAGGAAAATGCAAGGTAAGGACCAGCCCACAAAGAATAACTAAATAAAACTTTCCAGTTTGGTATATCTCAGTTGCACAAGATGAATTTCTTTCTTTTTCACTCTTTGTTTAAAATTTAAGATATTATTTATTTATATAGTCCTTCTAAAAAAAGATAAAATGCAATAATGCACCACAAAATGGCATAAAACATGAAATTAATGAAGAAACATGAGAACAAACAAAAATGGGCACATAGAAGTAGTACTAGTAATATAACACAAACCAGTGAACTAATAGAATTACGGACTCTACCAGAGACCTGGGTGCTTGAGGGTTCTGCACAGTATCTTTGCTATTCCTAGGACTGTACTCTTCTGGACAGAGATCCTGGGTGTTGTTCCTGGAATCTGCTGGAGCAACTTCCCCAGCTTGGGGGTCAATGCACTGAGTTCTCGAATTATTACTGGGACCACTGTTGTGTTCACCTTCTACATCAGGGGTCCGCAACTAAAATAGCAGGAGGTCTACTACAATGGTCTTTGATCATTGGTCAATGGGCTTTGATCATCCAGCAGGGCAAAATGATCAATAAACTGACCTCACAACCCATTTTTCAGTCAGTGGGCTAGTTTCAGTCATTATGCAAAGTACTGTTCATAAGGTTGGGAAAACCTGCAATCACCTGAGACAGAAGAAGTCACTTGGATAAATAAAAACACTGTGTCCAGATAAACAGAATCAACTTTTTGGTACAACATTAAGGTGTAACCACCAAAAAAAAACCCCTCAATATTCAGGAAAATTAAGAACTGCTTTAAACTGTGCAGTAAATATGTTTCACAAACTCAACACAATGCAACTTAAAAAAGACTGGAAGTCAAACAGGCTCTTAACTAGGTCAATCTCAACCACCCTAGGGGGCATGTTCCACTTTGACTTTTTTGATACTTGGCACAGATATTCCTGTATACTATGCCGACCACTTGGTCCCATGTATGCCCTACCTGCTAGCATCTTGCACCTTGCTGTTATGTGCTGGATTTTCTGAAGGGAGTCTTTATACAGCTTGCACATGGGGTTTTACCTGGTGTGGTAGACACCAACCTCTATGGATCTCTATGAGCTTGTTCCAGTGCTGCCACGATTAGTTACTCTGTGCTGTTACTTCTATCTGCTGTTAATACATACATGCAGGGGCCTGTCCTTCCATTATGGTTCTTCTCCTGGCTCCTCTTCTTTCTCAGGTTTGTGCTGCCTGAGGTATTCAACAAGCACACGATTACTTGTGGCTATCTTCCTGATGTACTCATGGATGTTTGTCGTCTCATCCTGGACAGTGGTTCTGACACTCTCTAGCCCTTGGCCTCCTTCCTTTCACTTAGTGTATAGTCTCATTGTGCAACTCTCAATTCATGGTAAGGAGCTTTCTTGTATTGATTCCAGTGACTTCTATTGCCTCCTTTTGCCAGCTTATTATCCCCGCAGGGTATTTGATCACCGGCAGGGCATAGGTGTTAATTGCCTGGCTCTTGTTCATCCCATTCAGCTGACTCCTCAGGACTTGCCTTACTCTCTGCAGTATTTGGTGGTTTGAGCCTTCCTAGCGGCCTCTTTGTGGTTCCCATTAGCCTCGATGATCTCTGTCTGGTCAATGTTTTGTCTCATCTAGATGTTCAATACGCTGGTGTTGATTGTCACTTGATCTGTGAAATTCTAATGTTACCTTGGCCAGTAGTCCATTTCTCGCCAGCATCCTGGGTCCCCAATGCTGGTGCATCGGCTCCCCTGGATGCAGTAGCTTCAACGTGTGACATTGATCGGTTTGGATCCATATGGTTTCATGCCTCATTTCTCCAGTCGCCTGGTTGTGGTCGCTTCAGCAGGCGACTACCCTCCTTTTTTTGCACCCAGGCTTGGGACCGTCCTTGGTGGACTTAGATGCACTAGTTTGCCACAGCCAGTAACAGTTCAAGTTTATGAGTTACTGAGCTTACTATATTCCACAGAGCGCTACAGTCGTGAGCCATGCCAGTTGTTTTGATGGCATGCAAAGGGCCAACAACATATTTGGTTGGGATGCAGAATGAAACTGTGCTTTTCAATTTATTTATTTATTTATTTATTTTTAAATACAAGGAAACTGAGACCATATTTCATCAGACAGAATTTGCTCATTTGTATTTTTTTTTTCCTCAGCCATTTGCAACATCTGTTTTCATTTGGAGTCTTAACTTCCTGAACATCAAATTTGTTCCTCTCAAATCCAGGTTGAGTGCAGAGTCAAAGGAAAAGAAACACTTTCTGTACTGGGGCCAGGAAGCTGGAATCCTGGAGGTTTTGCCTTACCATGACTGTGACCAGATGTCAAAAGATCAGCCTGATTATCTCACATGTTTGGTCCGCCAGCAGGTTCAGAAAATATCATCTCGCTTCCTTGTTTTTATAACTGGTGAGACATGAATATACTAATACTTATGTTCACTGTGACATTCACCGAGTGCTGTTGCATTATATGCTTGTTTTGAAGTTGTATTCCGGAGGATTTTATAAATATAGTATTCATTAAGATGCTAAAATGGCCTCAAAAAATGTCCAGGTTAAATGGACAGAAGTCCATTTGTAAAGGAATAACGTAGTGTTCTCTTTTTACAGATACAGCAACAGACGGCGCCTTTGAGAGTAATGGGATCTTGGCAATGACTACGGAGTCTTTCTTAACAAAGCCTTTAAGTGAAATGTTTACAGTGTGACCTAAAAAAAAGTTAGCTGGACGAACTGATGTTTTGCCCATTAAAGGATGTACTCATAAACTCACTCAATGTGAAGAGAACCCAGTAATACACCAGTAATTGCTATTTTACGTGTATTACATTATTCTTCAGTCCCACCAGTTTTTTTCTTCTTTGTTTTTGTATGCAACAATAATTATTGATTATTTTTTTCCCACATTGTTCAAATGTAAACCTAGTTCTCATTCAGTTTATGGATAGAGGTGGCAGTAGTGCCAGTATACCAGCAGCTGTGCTGTGTGTTGATTTTGTATCATATTTTTATTGTAAAGTGTATTGTAAACCTGGTTAACAAGTGAGTTTTACATTGTGACTATTTTATCTTTTTCCTCACACTTCTGGCCTTATACATTTGCAGCACAATCAGCATAGTGTTTGTTTGTTGGGAGTATAACAGTTTGTTGATGGCTTCAGGCAAAAAAGTTGACCAGCTGTTGTTATGCTCTGGGGCTTCAGATGAAGCTAAATTAGGCTGTTTTCAAGTGCTATGTTACATATTTATAGTATACACATGTACAGCAGTTTAATGTTATTAGTTAATGCTAAGTAAATTATCTTTAGTTTTGGTTGTATTCTGTACAGCAAACTGACTGAAAATAAAGAGATTTCATCCACAAATCAACTAACATAGTTGATGGTCCTGAGTACCGTATTTTCACGACCATAAGACGCACTGTGCTAAAAGGCGCAGTCTCAGTTATGTGTGCCATTACTGTATTTAACACACACATAAGGCGCACTGGATCATAGGGCGCATACAAGTACCGTATGCGTATTTAAAAATAAAGCGGGAGCAAACCTGAGTTCGGTACCTTACTCACATTTTTATTACCAGTAATCGTCATCATCAACAACACACAAGCATACAAGTGTGCGTATTTAAAAATAAAGCAGGAGCAAAACAAAGTTTGGTACTCACATTTTTATCATCAATCAAACCCATCGAAGTCCTCATCCTCTGTGTCTGAATTGAACAGCTGCGCTAAATCTTCATCAAACATGCCAGGTTCACTTTCTTCACTGTCAGAGTCACTTTCCGTGCCGTGCGGCTCCTCGGAAATGATGCCGGCTTTTGCGAAAGCTCGAACAACAGTGCCAGCAGACATGTTAGCCCAAGCATCTACAATCCATTGGCAAATTGTGGCGTAACTCGCCCGGCGCTGGTTTCCACTCTTGGTGAAACTGTGGTCTCCATCCGTCATCCATCGCTGGATGTGTTTGTCGCCGATGTGTTTGCTGCAGTAGGAGCGGAAGATGGCCAGCTTTTCCTTATAATCCGCTGGAAGTTGCTGCGCTACCATAGTCCTGGTCCGGATGGAAAAATGGCACCGTTTCATAAAAAGTGAAAGTGAAACTGCTTTTAGCCGAATGGTGACCGTCGAAACGCTTCTCCCGCTCGTTCTTTGCTCGATGATCGCCTTATGTCCGCGGAAACTCAGCTGCGTCTTCTTGACCTGCCGGAGCTTGTTTTCCAGCTTCCTCCACTTGCGAACCGTCGATTCATTAATCTTAAATTCTCTCGCCGCTGCTCGATTTCCATGTTCCTCCGCGTAGCTGATGGCCTTCAGTTTAAACTGTGCTTCGTAAGCGTGTCTCTTTGCCATTTTCAGGGTTGTTAAAACAACGATGTCCTGCATAACGCACATATCTGTTCTTTTATACAGGTATGTGCAATAAAGTCAACGCACACACTTCACCCTTTAGCGTTCTCATGGTGTTCTCTACTACGTCCTCCTTACAACACACAGGGCGCACTGCGCTATAGGGCGCGCCGCACTTTTTGAAGAAAATCTAAGACTTTTAAGTGCGCCTTATGGTCGTGAAAATACGGTACCTACGCTACATTGTGTTTCCCACAGCAATAAGACCCTCGGCACTGTGCTCATGTTGAGGAAGAGTTTGGCCTCTATTTTCCTGTAAACAGAGTCATCTCAAATGAGCAAATGCACTGTCTGTACTAAACATGAATAAAAAATATTTAGTTTTCTAATGAAAATCAACCATTGAACGAATTGCTTTAAAATGTTGGTTTCCCATCTCCACCTTATCATTTCAAACTGTTCCATACATAGTGCAATTTCTTCTATTGTGGATTTTCTACTGCCTTGTTTTCTGTTCAGCCTTGTTCCCAAAAATTAAAACTGACATGAGAGAAAACTGGAAGGTTTGGGTTTATTAATATGTTCTTGATTTGGAAATGTAAGAGTACATGGATGGAGGTATGACTGTTAAACTGAGAGAGGGCCAAACCTAAGGGAAGGGTCTTAAAACAGACAGTAGTGACGGTTGAGGTTGAGTGGTTTCAACAATTTGAAACCTGAGGTTTCAAATTGTTGAATTAAGCGGATGTTGAACAGATCAATCAAAGACTGCACATTTGGTGAAGCAACAACATCAAATTTGTTGAAATATGATTAATTTGCTTGGCTGCTTATCCAGGTGGAGTTCCACAGGCACTGGAGCCTGTTCCAGCCTGAAATACATCAAAACAATCCACCCATTTTCTCTGTTCTCTCCAGCCTTTCCCAGCTGTTAAAAGGCAAATGGTGCTTTGTCCTATGATGAAACCAGGTGCATGGTATTGGCATGGCAGACCCTCCCCAATTCACTACTATTCAACAGGTCTCCCAGCAGGGTGGAAACTGGGAAGCCTGACCTGTCTGGATCACCTTTTTGTAGGAAAACACAATGCGCAAGAGTAAATATAATTATATAATGATAACAGCATGATCATATGCAGTGAAAGGACTCACAATTATAGATGCGAAACAGAATGTATTAAAGTTCTGGAAAGTTGGTCTCCCTTCATATCCCTCATAGTGTCTTAGACCAAAAACTTTTCAAAAGATAACTTTACACAGTGTGTAAGAGGTTATTTTTTTACTGCTGCTACTCAATGAGAGAATATTATTTTTCAAAGTTATGTTGTAACCAGATGATTGCATGCTCTTAGGTCAGTTATTGAGCAGTTGAATTTTGTGCTTTAATGTTGTTATGAGAAGCCAAGCTCCCTAAAGCATAATTAAGGAGAACAGTGGCCTGTCAACAATTAACATTATTCAGTCTTGCAGAACTTATAGCCAGTTTTCAAATGATTTCTATTGGTACAGAACATTTGGGATTGACAAGCGATTAACCAGGCCATAAACACAACAGGAAGGTGTTCACAGTAACAAGTCCCAGAGCTGGTTTCCTGTAGCCTTCTTTATCCCCAGAAGTATTCTTCCCCTTATTTTTTCTTTTGCAAACAGAGAAGGCCCTCTGCTGGCTATTTAAAAAAATGAGCTGGGTTTAAGGGACTACTGCATTTGCTTCACTTTTCAGAACCAGAAGTTACATAAATGTAGTCTTGGGAGGTTGAAAAGGGGAGCTTTTTGAAGACATTTCACCTCTCATACAAGAGGTTATTCAGTTCTATAAACAAAAGTAGAGAGTCTTAGGGTTTTAACCTCTACTCTGTCTGGAAATACTGTCTTGGTAATACACTGCTTTTTTGATGCAATACAGTGTGCAACAGTTTTATCTAATCTGTCACTGGTACTGCTCCAGTGGTGTCCAGTTCACCTATGCATAAACTACAAGATCCTCTTTCACACTTTCAGTCTTTTATAACCTTGACCTTCCATATTTGTCTGATGTTCTCCATAATTGCTCTCCCCCCAATACACTCAGCTCATCTTCAGCTTCTCTTTTGTCTGTTCCATCTACTTGCCTGACTACCATGGGACTTAAAGCCTTTAGTTACTGCCCCAAAACTCTGCATTTCCACCAGACCTCTAGACCATAGTGTATAGCTGGGCATACACTGTGCGATTTTTTGGCCCATTTTGAGATGATTTTTCAGTCGTGCAACCGTTTTGGGGATCGGCCTGAGTTTTACCTTAATCGTGCATTGTGCATCGTATGGTATATATGGGGTAACGAGAAGCGATTAACACCTCACGACCAACTCCCGATCAGCAGTCGTATGGTCGCAAGAAAATCAAACCTGTTTTAAATCCTGATCACCCCTCGTGAGGGTATCAACGCAACCTCTCACACTGAGCATGCGCAAACACAGAAATGGAAGTGAAAAAGACGGAGTAGCATGGCAGTGCAGTGTGTGATCTGGACACAAGCGATGGAGGCCAAACTTGTAGAACTTTGGCAAGCTCATCCGAGCCTTTTCGATGTGGCTTCACAAAATTAAAACAATCACAACAACTGTGAAAACACTTGGATGGACATTGCTGCTCAATTGCAGCTGCCTGGTCAATGTTTTTCATTAGTAATTTAGCAAAGTTGATGGTGGTGTGTGTGTGTGTCTGTGTGAGTGAAAGACAGAGAGGGAGAGAGAGGGAGATTAAAAGACAGATTTTGTGTTATAAGCTTAATGTTATCACTTCACTTAATGGACGCACAGTGTGAGCACTCAGGTCACATCAGAGCATTGGGCCGTATAGTGTGAGACCATGCATCGTGACCTACAAACTTCTAACCCCTGCAATTCAATCATACAGTCTGAGCAGGAGCTGAATAATGCGACTGAAAAAAATCGCACAGTGTATGCCCAGCTTAAGCTATCCAATGAAATGAAGCAAACAATGTCTAGATGCATGCTCAACTATCTAGGTAAGAAAATCCCAAGTAAGGAAGTCGTTTGCTCCAGGCAATCCAGGAGTAAAGGACAACTGCTGCTTAAATGAAAACCTTTAGTGATCCCCAATGTCAGGAGCATCCGAACAGATGAGAAACATTTTCTTTAAACACAATGTCTCTGTGCCATTCAAACCCCAAAAAGTACTACGGCAAAAAAGTTGCTTCACGTCAAGGATTGGATCCCCCAGAACAGACAAAGTAATATAGTGTACATAGTGAAGAGCCACAGTGAAGTGAACCAAACAACCAGATGGCACAACACAAACCAGCTACCTGAACAGGCCAGGACTTTTTACACCTATAGATCAGTGGCAACTCTTTCTAGGCTGAGATGTACACTGGCAACACTGGTCTTGAGTGGGGAGACAAGCAGGCCATTCATGTAAAAAGGGAGTGACTACAGGAACAGATCAGAGGTACAATTTTTCACGATCTTACACCCTTTCTCCGACTCTCTGTGAATGGTACTCAAGGCCATTGATCAGTGGTGATAACCATTTGCATATGAATGATCATCAAACTGACCTCACAACCATCATTAATCACTGGGGCTAGCTTCAGTCATTATGCAAATGTAATGTTAAAAGGTTTGGGAAATCTGCAGTCAGCTGAGACTTAAGACATTCCTTGGAGGAGTGACAAAGCGTTTCTCCCTCTGAAAACACAAAGTCGAGGTGAAGAGAATCAACTTTCTGGAATCCAATCAAATAACCATTCACAAAGGTAGGTAAGTGACTCTCAGGACAGGACAGTCAAGGGCTAAATACCGAAGACTCTCCAACGGTTAAGAAGAAGCTTCTTGAATAAAATGGCGAAACGTCTTTGAGAAGCTAGAGAAGTCCAGTTGACTTATTTCCAGCATTCAAGACTTCTGGATTGACTGAGAACCTCCACAGACACATTTGACATTTCCAACATTCGCCACAACTAATAAGCTTCACCATCACCAAATCTACAACCAGTTTTGAGACCCATGATAGAATTTGGGACTT